CGAACGCGAACGGCTACTGTCGATTCTGACTTAGTCCAAACGGTAGCCACGGAAGCGCAACAGCTTTTGGAAGTGGAACTCATCGAATGGAGACAACACATTTCTGAAGGGCAATACCACATACTTTCTGAAGGAGAGACCGATGAGATGGAAGTCGAGTTGGGACAACCCTCTCCGGAAGGAGAGCCGGATGATATGCACGCTGAAGATCGAGACGGTGATTTGTTAATGGATGTTAGTGACGCTGAACTACTAGAACGCAGCTTTGTCTATCAAGTTCGTGCGTCCGGGCTCCGAAAGTCGAGAAGCCCACTGGTTCGTCCGCTGGTGAGCCCCGTCCGAAACGTCTGCAACATAATCCGCCTCGTTCGGAGCATTCAGCGATCCCGTCGGCATCTTCTTTGGAATCGTTTTCAGCGTCCGAAGCCACAAGCCGAAGTCTGGTTCCAAGTGATCAGACGTTCTTGTCCTGAAGCTCGTCGCTCCGGCCGAACTCGGCCTCCGACTCAAGTTATTTTAGTCCATCCGGAGGCTCAGATGAATCATTGCCAAGCGGAACTTCTGAATCTGGAATGTCCCGTGACTGTTCCTCACGATGGTCGAGATGGTCTTCGGAACAAGGAAGGCCACACATGCCTTTCTACGGTTCGTACGCGTTGACCGCTCGGAACCTCGGAAGTCATTTCTCCACGGATACGACTGGCTACTATGTCACCCGAACGGTACTCCCCCACTTCCACCGGTAGTTGATCAGGACGATGTCGTTATGTCGGTGTCGGATCACTCTGCCGTCCGGAGTCGAGTATCGAGGGAACCGTCCGTAGAACAAGTGAGTCTGGAAGGAGATGTTTCAAAGGAGGAACCAAGTGTGGTCGAGAGTGACCATAGGTCGGTCCATTCCCGAGGGCAGCATCGCTCGCGGCGAACGTCGATAGCGAGATCCCCGTCTGAACATTCTGTCCACTCGGAACGATCGTACCAGTCGAGGTACTCGGATCACCCTATGGCCTCTGCTCAGTCTACCTCAACGGGAATCGCTCTGAACGCCAGCCCAAATTCAGGAAACAATCTCGAATTTGGAGCACAAGCAGCAGGCGACCACCATGAGGCAACATACGGAGTTCAACGCAAGGCTGGCTCAGTATGAAGCGGAACTCGTCCGAGGGAAAGCGGAAGATGCCGAACGAGAACGACGTCTGGAGGAGAAGATCCTCCGGATGATGCAACAGAATTAGAAGGTGGAACATGTCGGATCATCGGAATTCATTCAAACGTTAGAGCCACTGCCTAAGCTGGAAACAGTGGTGGGATCCAAACCCACGGTCGACCCTGAAGCACTCCGACAGGAAGTGGTCCGAGTGGAAAACGAGCTGTCCCAAGCGCCGTTCTAGCTGTACCAGTCTCTCCTAGAGGCGAAGATACAGGAACCCTTGGACGCTGAAGCTCGGAAAAACGCCGACATGATCACAGGTCTTCGGAAGAGTAACGCCGAGGTCATGCCGGCTCATTGGAGGGAGAGTGTCGCCGCCGTGACGGCCCTCCAGGCGGAACTTCAGTCGATGCAGGCAGATCAAGACACCATGCACGCCGGTTTGAGTGCGATGAAGACTGAACATGACCGGGAGAGAGCGGAAGCCCACAAGTTCCAAACATGTTTGGTGAAGGACATGCGCAGACATCACCCCAAGTTCAAGCAGACAGAGTGGTTTCCGAAGGAGATCCACTGGCTCGGAATTCTATGGTGTTCAGCAAAGAATGTAGTCGGAATTCTATCGTGTTCAGCGAGGAATCTGGTCGCACGGATGTGCACGGATCAGACCGGTTTCTCCATCAGAGATGGAACGTACCACGAAAAGTGTTGATGAAATTTTCGCCGCCCAGTTGCAAGCGACACTTTCCGATGGGAAATTGAAAGGTGGAAGTTCGCAACGCGAAGAATGTCAAGACCGAAGAGGTGAAGTCCGAGGCCAAGGTGCAAACTGTAACCGGAAGTTCGAAGGCTCCGTCCGGAAGGAAGACTGCAAAAAACCTCCTTCTAAGAGTGGGGATCCCCCGAGGGTGACAAGGGGACGTCGGACCGGAAGGACAGTTCGAAGTAGAAATTTCGCCAAAACGATAATCCTCCGCACGATGACCCAGACGAGGACCCTGACTCAGATGATCCTCGTTTAGACGACAATGCATCAAACGATTCGGATAGCAGCACGTTTGGAGATATTACGCCAAGCGTTCCAGTGACTTCGACCATGCAGCAAGGGACGACGTTGTTCAGTTTCAACCAGTTCCTCAACGCGAACAGTCTAGATGATTTCAACGAGAAGGCGTCGCTCTCCAATCGGATTCGATGGTTGGAAATGTTCTAGAGCATGGCGATTTCGGGAGGATGGTCCGACAAGACGAAGGGTTACCAACTCAAATTGAAGTCGTCCTCCACAGTTCGAGACTCTCCGGACGGACACCCGTCGAGACTGGAAGAAATTCCTGAAGGCGTTCCGGGGGAATTACTGCAAGGCAAGGACAACAGATACCGAAAAGAACTACACTATGGCTCAACGGAAATCTGAAACTCCCGCGCGAATTCTACTATCGTCTGAACAAGACGGCGGCCAAGGCAGGCATTGACATTCGCTCGACACCAAAACTCCGTGACCAACATGTGAAATCTTTCATCCGGAAGTTGACCGACAAAGAGCTCCGAGCGACTCTACAAGGACAGAATTTTCGATCAATGGCTGATTTGGAGTTCATCCTGAAACGGCATGACGAAACCTGGCATGAAGAAACGGATGCGTCTCCGTCCCAAGTCCGTGATTTCCGAGCGAATAATCAACACATGAGACGTCATCGTCCGAAACGATATGGTAAAGCTTTCGTTGTTACACATTCAGAGGATGAATCCGAGGATGGAGATTATGAAATGGACAGCTCTTCAGAGGGCGAGGAGCCACCGACGAAAAGTGATCTCTCCGTTCCAAAGGCAAATCAGAGTGAGAGTTTCGCCAAGCAGAAGGATGCGTGTAATTCTGAATTGAGGCAGGAAATGCCGCAAGAAGTGTTTCGTATCATGGACAACTCCGGCTGGAAACCTCCGAACGGAAGTGAATTCCGGCCTAGATCACCTTATCCTCGGTTCGGAAATTTTTCGCAAAGCAAGCATTGTGATAACTGTGGTGAAGGAAGCTATACGACGGATAGTTGCTGGATGGACATTGAATGTGAACGGTGCCACCAACTCGGCAATTCTTCTCAGATGTGTCGAATCCGACTGTGTAACCTCTGCGGAAGATATCATGATGGCAAGTGCGATGACCCCAAGATCCTACGACTATTGAAGACACTTGCACAACAAGGCCAACTCGATCTGAAAGAACACTTTTCAACTTCCGAACTGAATCAATTTCTGGATGGAGATGCAGGTTTTGGGGGAGAAGCTGTTAAACCTGTAAACCCGCTCGATGGAGATCCAGAACGTGTCGGGCTCAAGGATATCTCACAGTTGTGTGTTTTAGTTTATGTTGCACCAGAATTGAGATCAAGAGATCAAGATAACCATCAATACATGTCAGTGATTGAAAACGATGCAGACCTTCGTCCGGAAATGCTAATTTTGGAGAACCAGGAATGGGACTCCCGTCCGGAATTCCAACTGAACCCCGGTGAACGTTATGGATGGTGGGCTAATCACGACAGTGACAAATGTCAGAAAGAGGTGATGGTTCACGGTGCAGTTAATAATTGTCGGACGATGTCCTTTTTAACTCAGGAGCTACAGTGAGAATGCTTAGGTTGGACCATGCGCGTAGGCTCAAACTAAATCTGATTCATGGAAAACCGCTCCGTGTCACCGGACTGGGTGGCATTCCGACGATAATCACTGCCCGAACGGAAGTGAAAATCACTCTTGGTCCGAGAGTGGTCTATGTGATAGAACTGTGGGTGGCGAATATCGGCGAAGGGGTCAATGTGTTGTTAGGAATGGACTTTATGCATGCGGCAGCATTTCGACTTTGTATTCGAGAAGGATTCGTCAAACTTCCGGATGAAGAGACCCTCCTTTCGGCAGGAGCAGTACCCGTTCGGAAAACCCACGGCTTGGACTTACCTATATATTCGCACGAAACGCTAATCTCCGACCCGGAGATTACTGTGTTGTCCGAATTCACTATGGGCCAACCCTCAAAGAGAAGTGGTATGGGCCGGGCGAGGCGACCGATGGGTGACCCAGCTTATCTACGGTGGCAAGCCATGGCAAGTTGCAGTGAAAGTGGTTAACAAATCTTCTCGAAGAGTACGCGAACCGCGTTGGCTCGGATAGTGGAGTTCGGATACTTTCCGATCGGAAGGTTTGTCCGTCCGGGGCTCAAGAGGTACCAAAATGGGAATCTTAGATCTATGAGAATACCGTTTCGAGGGAACGGTGACTGGGTCAAGAACGTTTCGAACAGCTGACGCAAGAAGCCGAACCACCGTGTGTTCAGTCGGTAGATTACCATGACCGACAAAACTGATGACTAGGTCTCCTTTTGGCATGGACGAAGTTCGAATGGTACAACTTCAAAAGGAACCCACAGTCTCGAAAGTTGTCCAAACGCGGACTGTAGGTACTCAGTTCTCAAGTGATCCGGTGGAATAGAAACATGTGCAGTTCAAATGCGATCCGGACAGAAAAGTCGGTTCAGAGACTATCTCGACTCAGATGTATGAGGTTGAAAGCGGACTGAGATTCGACTCCGAAGTCGCAGGTGTCGTGGTTTCCAGTGACGAAGAAACCCTTGGACCCCCTTTGCTCTCCAAAAGTGGAGATGATGACTCAACAAAACGGTGTCCATTCCGCCCAGAGACGTTGACTCCGAAGGGGAAGAGTTTTTCGATACCCTCCCTTTGAAATCTGACGATAACTTTCGAAATGAAGGCTGTGTGGGGGAACCATCGGACGATGATAAAGCTCCAGGGGAGTAGACACTCCGTTGGACAAGCTTCGTTTGGAATACGAGCGGTGCATGAGAGTCTCTGCAGAAGAGCTCGATTTGGAACCACCTATGTATATCCATGAGAGAAGTGAGCTGATGTCTCAGTTGCGCAATCAACTTGCTATGCTTCCTGAACTGGAAGACTTGACTCCGCAATGTGATATCTCGACTGCCGATGTGGGAGTTTCCGGAAAGTCTCCTCCGGAGGAAAAACGGAACTTGCGATCTATTCTCGAGTATCACAGCAAGATTTTCCTTGGAGATCGAAATGCAGCTCCGGCGCCTGCTCATGGAGTTATTTGTGATGTGGATGTTGGTGATGCACAACCCATCGCCGTGAGACCACGTTCGGTTGGACCCCACATCCTTCCGAAAGTATATGAGCTTCTCAAGAAACTTCTGGAGACAAATTTGATCGAGCATTCGGAATCGCCCCGGGCATCGCCAATAGTCATCGTTCTGAAGAAAAACGGAATTGATATCAGGATGTGTATAGATTACCGGATCGTGAATGGTTTTCTGAAACTCTCGTGTTCCCGTTACCTCTGATCAACGATCTTCTTCTTGGTTTCGAAAATGCGCTGTGGTTTACGAGCCTTAACATGGCCAGTGGTTTCTGGGCAGTGAAGACGTCAGAACGAGCGAAGTTGATATCCGCCTTTGTGTGTCCGTTCGGACATTTTCAGTGGGTACGAATGTCTTTTCGGGTTGAAGAACGCTCCGCTTATGTACCAAGGTATGATCAACAACTGCTTATGGGGTTTCGTCAGACTCTCTCCGGAAGAGGAAGCTGACTTTGACAGATGGGCCCTGTTCTCGGAAAGAGCTCCTATATCGACGACATCGCTCATGGTGCCGCGACTTTGGATCAGCTCTATGATGACCTCAATGAATTGCTCTTCCGATTGCGTTGCTAGAATATTTCAGTAAGTCTTCTAAAGAACGAATTTGGAAAGTTAGTCATCCCCTACCTTTCTCACGAAATCAGCACCGAAGAAATAAGTGCCGTTCCGAAAATTGCGAAAGGAGTTCAAGACTTACCTTTTCCGACGACTCTGAAAGAGGTGTCGTCTTTTCATGGAATTTGAACTACTATCATAAGTTCATTGAAGATTTTCCAGTGATAGCTGCATCACTGTATTAACTTACAGAAGAACGGATCTGTTCCGGACGAGACCTTTTCCGGACGAAAGAAGCTTTTGAAATCTTGAAACGGAAGATCGTCGTTGCGACATCCGGACCGAAGTCGGCCATTCGTGATTATTCCGCATGCCAACCAATGGGCAGCTTGCGCTATGTTAGAACAAGTGTATGATGGGACAATTCTTCCAGTAAGATTCACAAGACGAGAATTGAACAATTCGGAATTACGATATCATATTGCTGAGGAAGAAGTGATCGCGATTCTCAAGGTACTCCAAGTTTTCCGAACGATGTTAGAAGGATGCCGTTTCGAAATATATACCAAGTACTCTGTTCTGAAATGGGTTCTCACTTCGAAATCCGCCGATGGACGATGAGTACCTTGGGGTGTGGCGTTGTCACACTGGGATACCACGGTTCAGAAAGTACAATGGGATAAGGACGGCCTACCAGCCATCATGGGAGCCGGTATCCCTCCGAGAGAGCATCTGGACAAGGTGGCTGAATCGCTCATCGCTGAACAGATTATGAAGCCGATGTCCACTCCGGACGAAGGACCTGAACGAGATTGTCCAAACGGAGGCATCTCCGGAGGAGACTGCAAGAGTAGAATCTGCTCCACTGTCGCCGGCCGCGAAAGTGTTGGCGGTTCTGACTAGGTCGGCAGAAAAGAATGTGAATTCCAAAAGGCCCCCAATGGGACCTCTCGAGTTCCAGACGGAAAGATGGCGACGAATCCGGGTCCATCAAGACGAAAATGAATACCTTTCGGAACTAAAGAGGTTTTTGAAAGGTCATTTCGATCGTTTCTCGCCGAGATGTATCCGGAAGACAGCAAAACATGCGGAACTTTTCGTGTTGGATGCTAGAGATATTCTCTATCGACTGGTGCAGTCACCCAAAGAACGACCTCGGGACATGGAATCGGAGCTACGAATAGTCGTACCGACTTCGCTTCGAGAAGACCTACTACACTTTGCACACGAAGATTATCAGGGCGGACATCAGGGCATCAAAAGGACCCACGAGAAACTCCGGACGGAGATTTACTGCCCCGGTATGTATGCCGACGTTGGACGCTATGTGAAAGAATGTGTAGACTGT